CCCACTGCTAGGAATTGAACACAAGGATGCTTTACCATTGAAATACATCCCCAGCCTTTTCTCTTTTTTGAGATAGGGTCTTATTAATTTGCTGAGGCTGGCCTTAAACTTGAGATCTTCCTGCCTTAGCCTCAGGAGTTGCCCAAATTACCGAAATGTACCAGCACACCCAGCTCCAGCTCCTAAATCTGTTTTTTTTTTTTAATATAACCTGTTACAAGAAATTTTATCCAAAGAAACCATTAAGCTTAAAATGGACAATGAGATGCTTGGCACCACCAGTTAAGCCTTTCTCATTAAASCTGGTAGCCCCACCCACACATATGGAGGGCTGGGCATCTCCATACAGAGAGCTCCACACAGTCACATTCATGAAGAACTCAGAAGGTGCTGTCACATTCAAGATAAGAAGAACCACAAATGAGGAAATTAACCACAAGGCTGGCAACATCAATTCTACTCATTAAGAGGAAGCACATGGCAGAGAAGAGGCCCCAGGACTGGGCACTGGGAAGGCATGCTCCATGATGCATATCCACACCACTCAGGACTGCCTCCCAAGTCTGAAGGCCACACAGGAGCCACAGCAAGGACCACTGTGATCTGTCCWGCGCCAAAAGGCTGGGATTTCAAACATCAGCTCCATCTAAATGTGACACCATTTATAATACTCAAGCTGTGAAAAAAACACTTAAYACATGAAAAGACATATAACAAAGATGAAAGCACTTTTGGTTGCTTATATTTGTTGCTATTTACTAGTGGAAATTTTAAAGTGTTTCATGTGCTTACTTCAAATGGAATCATTTACATTTAAAAAAATAGCTTAAAGAAAGACTCATGCAAAGCAGGGTATTTCCAACTTTTAATTAAGGTCCAGAACTTCATAAAGGAAACCAATCAAGCCATAAACACAATCAAAGGAAAATTAAAGACAAAACTCTACAATGAAAGCTAGATGATTTGTCCCGTGCAGCCACTGTGGCAATAAGAAAATAGGAGCCAGAATAATCTCTTTTTTTATGTAAAAATATATTTTTAGTTGAGAATACCTTTATTTTATTTATTTTTACATAGTGGTGAGGATCGAACCCAGTGCCTCACATATGCTAGGCAAGTGTTCTACCACTGAGTTACAACTCCAGCCCTAGAATAATCTTCTTTTAAGACTTAAAAACTTACTGGATGTGGTGGCATATACCTTAATCCCAAAGGCTAGGGAGGCTAAGGCAGGAGGATCACAAATTCAAGGCCAGCCATAGCAACTTCATGAGGCCCTRTGTCAAAATATTTTTTTAAAAAGTGATGGGGCGGGGAATGCTAGGGATGTAGCTCAGTGGTTAAATACCCCTGGTTTCAATCCCTCGTCCCAAAAAGTAAAAAAAAAAAAAAAACTTATTACTTACATTTTCCATATTACCTCAAAGAAATCCTGATAAATCTTAAAATCTAGGCTGAATTGGCTGTTTTCATCCCTAAATTTTAAGTATTCTACGTAACTATCATTAGCTATCTGGCAGGATTTGAAAGGTGGAGAGAGCCTGACTCCGACTTCAGGAAATCCAGACTCAGGATASCTTCCTAAGCAAAAGTCACTCCTTTGGAGTTAGGGTACCTAGCCATGCTCTACAAACAGTTTTATTAAAAAGGCCATTCTTTGTTTTCATAAAGAACAACTAGGCAGTTACAAGTACACCAGTGACTGCCCACCTATCTTAACCAGTAACACACYATTGTGGTGTTACACCAGTGTATACACAAATGTGTATAGTACTTCTAAAATATGTTAATATTCATTAAAATGCCACCTAATCGCCTGTAATCCCAGAGGCTCCGGAGGCTGAGACAAGAGTTCAAAGCCAACCTGCAAAAGTGAGGTGCTAAGCAACTCAGTGAGATCCTATCTTTAAATAAAATGCAAAATAGGGCTGGGATGTGGCTCAGTGGTCGAGTGCCCCTTATTTCAATCCCTGGTACGCCCCTTCATAATTAATTAATTAATTAATTAAATGTCATTATATTTAAGTCCATTCTGTCTGCTCTGTAATTTATTCTTAACCTTTTTTTAATAATGCTATTGTATTTTTTATACCTTTATTTTATCTGTTTATGCTTCTGTGATGCTGGGGATCTAACCTAGTGCCTCACGCATGCAAGACAAGAGCTCTACCACTGAACTACAGCCCTAGCCCCTATGCTTTGAARTTTAGAGCTTACTCTGTTAAACAGAGTTCTTTAAAAAATATGATTTATTTGTTGTGATTTTCAATTCCAGAATACAATTTTGAAAATATGTCTATGATATAGGTCACAGCTTCTGTTTAATTAGAAAGTTCAGATTATAAAATCTGACTTCTCTGCATGCTGAGAAATCCTCCAGTGAAGCCCAGAGTATCCTAGTGGTAAGAGTGCTCAGTCTCCAGGCCTCACCCAGGTTCCAGGTCAGAGGTCAGCTGGATCACACCTCACTACCTAAATCCACCTTCCTCTGCTTCCTCCCCTAAGTAGAGTTTTACCCACCTCTGTGCACTCAGCTGAGCCTGGCTGTGAAATCTCACAGATTTCAAGATCCAATGCTAAGAAAGGAAAGGCAAACACAGTATTAAAGAGGCTATGGTTTTAAGACCTCACTTCCAAAGCAACTGTGAAGTTAATTATGTCACAGATAAAGGACCCCTGGAAAGCAGAACTCTGAACTGACAGATCCTCTATGTAACCAAGAATGTTGGCCCCATGCAACAAAGCACCAAAAGCTGTCCTGGGGCTCAGGCCTCCTCCTGCTATTCTCACAGGCATAGAGTAACATCTCACTGAAGAGCAATCAACAGAAACCCTCTACATATTGCAACTTAAATTGTACTTTGTAAACAAAATTCCAAATTCCAGTCACCACTGTGGCAGAGTGGAGGCCTCAGTGTGGAACACATTCATTTGTTTCCTCATGTAAATATTGGCTTTATCAGCAGTCCCAAAGATTAGAAATTACTGGYTCAAACTGCATAGTCCCAGTAGCCTGATGACACAAAGGACACAAGGGTAAAATTTTCACAGGGTTTGGCCTGGACCAAAGCCTTGCTTCCTCCTATTCAGTTGTAGTAGATGAGAAATCTGAGGGTCTTGCAGGGATGAAGGTGTTCAGGAGATGATGCACCTTACATTTTTACCTGTCTGTGGATTCTAACCTTACTTAATGGCTTAACCAAATTTTTTGTCCTAATAAAGCATAATAAGTTAGCTAACTGATGATTACAGCATTAAAGATCTCTGAATGAACTAAAGACAACAGGCAAAGATCAGGTGAACAGAAGTTTTTAAGTAACAGTCCCACCTACCCAAACATCACAAGGGTCTGGCACAATGAAGGATGAAAATAATTCATTTATTCTTTGCTGGCGTATTTAAAGCTTTTAACCTTAAAATTCCCTTGCGGTGCTACAGGAAAGTGGGTGTTCAGGATTTGAATACCAAGGGGATGTGAGCAAGCTGTCACTTGGGAGGGGCCATCTCCCGGGGGATGCTCGGGCGGGGCGTGGGGGACAGGCGCCGAGGTACAAAAGGCACAGGCTGCTGCCCTCACATCCCGCAGAGCGCGGCCGCTGAGTGGGACCCGCGGGCGAGGTGCGGGGCGGGGGCGGGGCGGATGTCCCGGGGAGCGCAGCAGGAAATGATCTCCAGACCCGGAGGGTGGGTCTCGGAAGCCGCCAGGGCGATGGCCCGGCGGGGTGGGGGTGGAGCGGGGATGTGGCCCGAAGCGCAGGGCGAGGGGGCGCGGAGGGCGACGGGCCGAGGTCACTCACCCCACTCGAGGAACTCGGCCACGTACTTGTCGCGGCGCAGCGCCGAGTGACTGCACTCGGTGTAGAGGCACACGAGCACGTCCAGCAGCGTCTCCACGCTCAGGGCGCTCTCGTTGCGCCAGGGCCCGTCCAGGAGCAGCTGCTCCAGCTTCTTGAGCCGCACCTTGGCCGACATGGTTCCGCGCGGCCCGCTCCCCACACGCCGGCCTCGGCCGCCCGCGCAGCCCGACGTCAGGGCCAGCCCTGGGGGGCCCGGCCGCGAGCCCCGGCAGCAGCGGCGCCCGGTCGCCGCCCCGTCCGCGTCGGTGCGCCCCGGCCTAGGCCGACATCTTGGGCTCCGTCCCGGCGGCGCGGAGTCTGGGGCGCCGGGCCCCACGGGTCCATGAGCCGGTCTCCTCCCCTCAGCCCGCCCGCCGTCCCCGCCCTCTGCGCCCGGCCGCGCCCTCCCGCGGGCCGCCGCCGACCTGGAGCGCTGCGGAGCCGAGCGCTGCGCAAGCCCGGCTGGCGCCCGAGCCCCGACCCCAGCCCGGCCGGCCGCCCAGCTCGCGGCCCGCAGCCAACCAGGGTGCGGCCAGCGCGGCGCAGCCAACCACTGCGGGGCCGGCCGCCGCCGCGCTGACCTCAGCGCGCTGCCCCGCCCTCGCCCCGCGGCGACTCCCGGCGGATCGGGCCTCGCGGCTCGCCGTAGGAGCCGGGCCGGGGGTGGGGCACTGAGTGCGCCGCCGAGATTGAGGCCCGGCGCGTGCGCAGAAGCTCCCGGGCGGGGCGGGGGCCGCGCTGCGCGTGCGTGCTTCCCGCGGCCGAGGGYCCCTGGCTTGCCCGGCGGGGGCGGGGCCTGGGCCGGGGCAAAGTTTGGGGCCTCTTGCTGCCTCGCAAGGCTAGGCGGGCTTCACGGACCCCAGCAGGTGCAGTATGGTGGCCTCGGCGGGTCGCTCCGGAGCGGCCTAGCTCTGGCCCGGTCGGCGGCGGTGGGGCTGCCCGAGAGGCGCGGCCTGCGGGCGCCCGCCCCTGAAATTCGCGACGTCCGCGGTGGCCATTTCGGGTTCCACTCCCTAGACTCCTAGTATGACACTCTGGTAGGAAGCAGGTTCTTGTTTTCAGGCCGTCACCACTTTACTGAGGCCGATTGTTGTTGCGGGAGGGGGTTAAGGGAGGTCCACCCGAACGAACCGTGGGTCAGGGAGGGGACATTCTGGAGCTGCGATGGCCACCGCKGCGGTGCGGCGGGCAGGTGAGCCGGCAGTCAGGGGACCCTATGGAGAAGATGTCGAATAACGGCCTCCGTTTAGGARCGGTATTGCGTGGAGGGGCCAGGGAGCCTTCCAGACTGCTGGGAACGTGCCCTGACCGGATTTGGGTTACACGGGCGAGCGTATGAACCAGCTGCCGTCCTAACTGTGAATGCATCTTTATATAACCTTGATTCGGGTATTGGAGGTCAGAGTAGTTGTCGACCACCTTTGGAGATTGCTGGCTCTTGGTCCCCTGACCAGGGAAGCCCAGCTGTTGTGTTCTCAGGCACCCATGAGGGTCTGCTGTATGTTTAACAATAAACTTTTATTTGGGCTGGCTCTAGTGAATTTCTGATCTTTGCACTCAAAACATCAACCACAGGACTAAGCTAGCCTATCCTCAGCACTCCAGAATGTACACACAATCTAGTTACTTCAAGCCACAATCAATGACTTTGTTCAGAAATTAGAATATTCAGTCCTAGAGTTAAGCCTCTGAAGTTTATTTGACTTTAGCTCTATCCTTGGGCCCCTTAGAGCCTAAGATGAGCAATGGCAAGAGGACACAGTGCCTGGCACCCTCCTTGTTTTTGTTTCCCCCAGTCTCAGGTATGCACAACGGGCTCCTGCTGGTGTGAAACTGTCAGGGAGAGGGAATGGGGAAGTTTGGGAAGAACTATGGTTCTATCTCTGGACTTTAGCAGAGAATGAAGCTGACCCTCTTCTGGGGACATTAGTGGGCTTCTCCTGAATCCCTTTAACCCAAACAGATGTGTCACTTTTTCCCCCCCAGTGGTCCCCCCCACCCCCGCCCGTGGTGGTTATTGAACCCAGGGCCTTACACATGCTAGACAAGTGCTCTACCACTAAGGCACACCCCCAGCCCAAATGTGTCACTTTGGGGAGTGAGTATTTATGGGGGTCCTTATAGGTCCAATTGTGAATAGTCTTTTGTTCTCTGAGAAATCCCTTGGAAACCTCCTCACTCAAGGTGTAGGTAAGAACACCCATGCTCTGTGCCCCCTAGTGGGACCACTTCCTCTGTCTTCCACCTCACCTTTTATTCCAGGGTGTGGACAGGTTTCAAAACCTCCCCCTTGATGATCTACATGTGGCAATCTTGAAAACTCACTTCTTGAGAATTCCATATCAGCGGTTTCTCCTTCATTCCTCAAAACTTCAGTTTAGTATTCAAGTATGTTTACAACATTAATATCGGACAAGAGTCATTGTCCCTTTAGTGGACAATCCTTGTGTCTGACTGCCCTCTCCCTGAACCCCATTCCCTGTGAATTGCCGCAGTCTCCTGTTGTAACTTTTCCCCTGATGGCTTTTTCTGCTCTAAACTTCCTTCCTCTGTCTGACTAGCTAGAAAGACCTTCTCTTTTACTTGAATCTTTTCCTCTTTCTGACTAACTTGAGAGACCTTCTCTTTTACTTGAATCAATATGTCTTCCTCTACCTTTGTCTGAATTGAAGGCTTTGGACTAAGCAAACCAGATAGAAAGTCCACAATGGCAATGTGCCAACTGGCAGAGTCCCTGGGTTGTTCTTTTCTATTCTTTTTAATTCTTCACCATGATGGTTCCATTGTGATATATTTAACAACTCCTCCTTAAAAAAGCCATGGGCTACATTTTTGTATTGTATCAGCRTATGCCCTGACTGCTCTTGATTTTACTGGGATGCCTCCTTCCTCTAACAATTTACTTAATAGTCTTTTGGTTTGTTTTTTACTAATTTCTGATCCCATATTTCTACTATAATACAACCCARCAAGATRACRCCAAACMAAACYGAGACAGAATGAAATAAAAATGAAACAACACAAAATCATTATAGCCTTTCTATCCTCCTGACATGTGCATCCRTCCTTTCTCCCTATCTGTTCCTCAGACATAAATAGTTTTTCCTCAGATGTGAGCGGTTTTTCTTCCGTCTCACTCATCTCCAGGGACAGGCAACTTAAAACAAAAATGAAGCAAAACAAAAGGTCTCTCAAGTTAGTCAGAAAGAGGAAAAGATTCAAGTAAAAGAGAAGGTCTTTCGAGCTAGTCAGAGGAAGGAAGTTTAGAGCAGAAAAAGCCATGGTGGGGGGAGTTACAACAGGAGACTGCGGCAGTGAATCTCTGCTCCAGCTCCACTCTGAGCAGGAGATTCTAGAGCAGGTGCCACAGAGGTGGATATGTCACCCAGGACCAGCTGGTCAGCTGCCGATTTCCCATGGTGGGTATTCATGTGACTCATGCCAGACTAATCARAGAAGATCTTCTTTAGGGTATTGTATGCTAAAATTTGAAGASAATTTCTTGTTTTTTTTTCCCCCCTTTAGGCCAAGGTTAGTAAACTATAAGGAGTCAGTAAATATTTTAGGTTTCGTGAAACATACAGTCTCTGCCTCTAATGCTATCACATGAAAGCTGCCATAAGTGATATGTAAATGAATAAGTGTGACTGAGTTACCATAAAACTTTATTTACAGAAACAAGTGGCTTGCAAGGCTGTAGTTTACTGATTCTTACTTCATGGCACAAGCTGTGAAGGTAAGACTTCAGGTCAGCCATCACAGTCTTGGTTAAAAAAAGGCAAGGGTGGAGATAGAGGGATAAAGCCCAGTGGCTCCCTGAGATAAGGAGATGCATTTCTATGTATCAGTGATGAATTCTTTGAAAGAGAAATTAGGGAAGCTACTCAATTCACAATAGCTTCAAAAAAATAAAATATTTGGTAATCAATTTAATAAAAGAGGTGAAAGACCTCTATAATGAAAACTACAGAACACTRAAGAAAGAAAATGAAGAATACCTTAGAAGATGGAAAGATCGCCCATGCTCTTAGATAGACAGAATCAATATTGTCAAAATGGCCATWGTACCCGAAGTGCTATACAGATTCAATGTGATTCCAATTAAAATCCCAAGGTCATTCCTTACAGAAATAGGAAAAGCAATCATGAAATTCATTTGGAAAAATAAGAGGCCCAGAATAGCCAAAGCAATTCTTAGCAAGAATAGTGAAGCAGGAGGCATCACAATACCAGAACTTAAACTATACTACAAAGCTATAGTAACAAAAATGACATGGTATTGGCAACAAAATAGACATGTAGACCAATGGTACAGAATAGAAGACACAGAGACAAACCCACATTAATACAGTAATCTCATCCTAGACAAAGGCACCAAAAACATACATTGGAGAAATGATAACCTCTTCAACAAACAGTGCTGGGAAAACTGTAAACCTATATGCAGCAGAATGAAACTAAACCCCTATCTCTCACCATGTACAAAACTCAACTCAAAGTGGTCAAGGACCTAGGAATTAGACCAGAGACCCTACAMCTAATAGAAGAAAAAGTAGACCCAAATCTTCATTATGTCGGATTAGGCCCAACTTCCTTAACAAGACTCCTAGAGCACAAGAGATAAAATGAAGAATTAATAAATGAGATAGATTCAAACTAAAAAGCTTCTTCTCAGCAGAAGAAACAAATCAATGAGGTGAAGAGAGAACCTACATTTTGGGAGCAAATTTTTGTACATGCTCATCAAAGCACTAATCTCCAGGATATGTAAAGAACTCAAAAAATTAACACCAAAAAAAAAAAAAAACCTAATCAACACATGGACTAAGGAGATGAACACTTCTCAGAAGAAGAAATACAATTGATCAACAAATATATTTTTAAAATGTTCAACATCTCTAATAATTAGATAAATGCAAATCAAAACTAAGATTTCATCTCACTCCAGTCGGAATGGCAATCATTAAGAGTACAGGCAACAGTAAGTGTTGGTGAGGATGTGAGGGAAAAGATTCACTCATACATTGCTACTGGGACTGCAAATTGGTGCAACCAATCTGGAAAGCAGTATGGATATTCCTTAGAAAACTTGAAATGGAACCACCATTTGACCCAGCTATCCCACTCCTCCTAAAGACTTAAAAACAGCATACTACAGTAACTTAGCCACTTCAATGTTTATAGCAGCACAATTCACAACTGCTAAACTATTGAAGCAACCTAGATGCCCTTCAATAGATGAATGGATAAAGATAATGTGGTACATATACACAGTGAATTTATTACTCAGCATTAAAAGAGACTAAAATTATGGCATTTTCAGGTAAATGGATGGAGTTGGAGAATATCATGCTAAGTGAAATAAGCCAATCTCAAAAAACAAGGACTGAATGTTTTCTCTGATAAGTGGATGCTAATCCATACAGGGGATGGGGGCAAGGGATAAGTGGAGGAACTTTGGCTGGGGCCAAGGGGTAAGGAAAGATGTGGAATGTGATGGACATCATTACCCTAAGAACATGTATGATTGCACGAATAGTGTCTCTATTTCATGCACAACCAGAGAAGTGAAAAATTCTGCTTAATTTGTGTACCAATGAATTGAAGAACTTTCTACTGTCATGTAAAACTGATTAGAACTTTAAAAAAATAAAAGAATGGAGGGAAAAAGAGAGCCAGAACTCTTAGGACAGGACCTCATAAAGGAGAGCACTGTGCCAAGAAGATCCTGGAAATCTGCAGAGTTCTTTCAAGCCCCCAGCAATGTACCGAGAACTGCTCCTGTGGGAGAAAACTACCCAGAGTCCCGGGAAAAACCATCCAAAAGACTTAAGAGGAGACCGWGGAAATCTGTTTTCCACCAGCCAAACTGGAATTCACAGGCTTTGGGTAGAATTCTAAAAAAAAATATTGTGCCTTAGTAATGGGGTTATTACTACTGGGAGTTCATCTAATCATCTGTCCCCCAGACGTCCTAGAAAAATCTCTAGACTGAGCATTCTTCTATATCTGTCTAACAAATCATAAAATGAAGACACAGAAACCTCAAATTCTGAGTAATTCAGCTGCATTCCAGAATAAAGCTACAGAACATTTATAGGAGGCAACATATCCAGCACCMAAAAAGATAAAGGCATCCAAAGATTGCCAGACTTTCCAACAAGCAAGAAAACACAACTCATAATGAGAATA